CGAACGCGGCCCTTGAGATTATCGAGGACCGCTTGATTATGGGTACTACATAGTACGCCATTGTTGCGGCCGCTTGCGTAAGCATGCATTGCTAATCGATATGAGAAGACCTTGCGTCGTGATTTTTATACTAAGTCTCGCGCCCGTCGCCTATGCGATTTCGGGGGACCTTGCGTCGTGATTTTTATACTAAGTCTCGCGCCCGTCGCCTATGCGATTTCGGGGTCGGAAGGTTATAAGATGGATACAAAACGGGACTAGGAGTGTTGTTGTGTTGTTTCTTTTGTGTTGTTCTGTATGTGTGAGTGGTGTGGAGTAACGCGTGGTAAGTGGGATGTGTCCTAGTCGACCGACGACGAGTCAAGCTTGGGACTTTAGCCCCCTAGTGCGTCGGTTCGCGTGCGGGTTCGATAGAGGCATGAGACTGTGCGTACCCCCTATGCTACAGCGAACGAGAAATGACATTGGCTGGTCCACCTCTACGATTGCAACTGATTAGCTTTCGTACTGTGGACTGGTAGCTCGTGGGGATACGCCCACCAAAGGGAGGTGGAGGTAAGTTGTGCCTCACGTTGGCCCTATCCTGTCGTAGGGGCTCGCGAGAGGTATGGCTAGCGCACTCGGCCGGAGTGGCTTGCGGAAGCTCCATGTGTGTCGCGATGAGGATCGGACCAACTCCTGCTTGACGCGGCCGGGAGGGTACCGCCCTGCGCATTGCGGGACCGATGCGCTCGACAGGTGGCGTCGTTGCCGGGGATAACGGTATGCTACAGCGAACGAGAAACGCCATCGGCTGGTCCACCTCTGCGATTGCAACTGATTAGCTTTCGTACTGTGGACTGATAGCTCGGCGGGAATACGCCCACCGAAGGGAGGTGACAACTCCCGCAGGTGGAGGCAAGTTGTGCCTCACATTGGCCTTATCCTGTCGTAGGGGCTCGCGAGAGGTATGGCTAGTGCACTTGGCCGGAGTGGCTTGCAGAAGCTCCATGTGTATCGCAACGAGGATCGGACCAACTCCTGCTTGACGCGACCGGGAGGGTACCGCCCTGCGCAATGCGGGACCGATGCGCTTGACAGGTGGCGTCGTTGCCGGAGATAACGGTTGCGTACCGTTGTCCCTAGTGGAACGACATCCGAGTATTGGAATGTGAGAACTAGGCAAAATGAGAAACCCCCTTTGGGCTTTTATGGTTAATCGATTGGTGGTATTGAATAGAGAGCGAGTGAGAGTTGATCGTGTGAGTTGGTTTTGTTTAATGGAGTGAGGGTGACACGAGAGGTAGACGTTCCGCCTATACATTTCACGTACTCTGACTAGTATGTTGGTACCTCTCTTCTGACCCTGATAGTTGGCGGGTTTGGACGATGCTTGCATGTTTGATATGGTTAAGGTAGGATGAGGTGGCATCAACATGAGTAAGCATGATTATTGCAGAAGTAGGCCCTATAAGGTACCTATTATGGTCGAAGAGTTATCTGAGTGGTCATGAGAGCAACTTGGTGCTTCAGTGTTAGAATGAGGACGAGGATGAGTGAGGGAGCCTATTATGTTAGAAGTCCTTGAGGGACTTTGAGGAGAGTTAGTGAGAATGGATTGGGATCCTGAGTATGGGTTCTAAGTGGTTGTTCGAATTACTTAGCCATGAAAGTGTGACGTTTGCCCCGTGTGATATGTTTTAATTACGCGTATAAGGCAGCCGGTAGATGCAGTGAACGTCGTGTTATGATCTCAATGGAAGGGTCTATGGGAAGTAGTATATCTGCTTGGCACCTTTTCGGCAAACGAGATATCTGATCCTAGAGGCAGTCGGAGTATCAGTGAAGGGGCTAACGATTAGACCATCCCGCTTACGTACGATGGTGTAATGGGGTGTAGGTGATGTTAGACCTTCATTTGAACCTTTCCAGTTTTGGATCGTCCAGTTGAATCTATGGAAGTAAGGACTTGAGACTATCTTTCTAAGGGCATCTCTTTAGTTATATGATTGAACTCATCCATATATGCCAGATCTAATGTGAGTAAGCCCACCTAGTGTCTAATTATGTGAGACTATGTGCTTGATGTGATATTATTTGAATGGCTATTCTTGTGAAAAATATTTTGCATGGGCTACTTACCTGAGGTGCGTATTTGAACTTGTCAGTCTATAAGGATTTGTATGAGCGTCTCAAGTCCGATTACCGATTTATGGTTGTCTGTTAAGCCTATGCATTTGGATTGCTCTTCAAAGAGGGGTAGGGGTATTGAGCAGAATCCACGTCTGATGAGGATTCAAAGGTGAATGGAGTGATCACTTCCTTGAGTTCCTTCTCATGGAATGGTCGATGTGTGAGAGTCTACCCCAAGGAAGGGTGCAATCCTATGTTATCGTTCCCCTGAGAGATGGCTTTGAAGAAATAACTTTGTCTTGTAGGTAGTAGTGAGACACGCGCCGGAAAAAAGTGGGGTGTTGTTGTTGTATCCCCTATGATAAGATGACTACACTACTACTGAAAGTATTTGAGCCTTGTCAGACCATGGCCTATGAGGAAAGCAACTACTACATGCCACAAAGAGGTAGGGGTTGAATCCCCAACTATTTTTGTGTCAAGTGGGTTCACCAGCTGTGACATACTGCGTAGCCACATGGGCCCTGCAGGGCTCGTCACGCACTTTCAGCCTAAAAGCCTAAAACTTAGGGCTTACAGGCCCCGGTCGTTTCAGCCTGAAAGCTGAAAAACGAGGGCCTGCAGGCCCTACTCCGTTTTCAGCCTATTTCTGGGCCTTTCAGGCCCAGAGGCTTTCCAGCCTGAAACGGAGGGCCATTTTTAGGCCCTCATTGTGTTCGACCTACCTAAGACTCAGGCACAGAAACAGGGTTTCGGGAATAGGCCAGAAATAGCTTGTTCCCCACGCCAACTCGAGCAGGAGCTGCAGCTGCAGCCCCTGCCTCCCTTCGGCATTGGCAAGAGCAGCCTCCTGGACTGCTCGCCCGACTAAGGAGGCACACCGGGTAGTACATAGGAGGTTCCCATGCAATTCACGGGTAGGTAGTGGTCAGTATGCACGGGTAGTCTTCAGGATTCGGCCGCAGCACTCAGGAGGAGCGCTGCAGTAGTCTTCAGCGCTAGCCAGTAGTTAGCGCTAGTAGTAGTCTTCGGCGCTGGGCGCCCATAGCCATAGTGGTAGTCTTCAGCGCTGGGCGCTATGGTAGGTGGTAGATTGTAGAGTTGGGAGAGACACTGGCGGAGGCCAGTGGTACTTACCTGTGGCGCCATCGCTCCAGCTCCATCTGCGAGGTACGTGCATCAAGGCACCAACTTCACAGGTTAGTACCGGACACAGAGAGAGAGAGTTCTTCTTCTTCCTCTTCTAAGTCCACCATCTCTTCTCACCCCCTCACCACCTGACTTCTCAGACTACGATAGAGAGAGACAGAGTTGTGACTTGAGACTTGACGACATTGGATCCAGACTTGACATTTGGGATTCAGACATTTCGACGAGGGACTATTTGGGCATGTGTCGAAGACTTGGTGTTTATGGTATTCCCATCTTCCCCCTCCTCTTCGTCTAACCCCTTTCTTCTTCGTCCGTGTATGGTAGGGGCTGGCGCAGTCTTCTTGTGTGAAGCGCCAGACCCCATTCACACCATGTAACGATGATGATGATGTATGTTCAGGGCTGCATTGCAATATTGATTGTTCGGATCAGTGGTATCTAAGTCTTCCGCTGTGTTATCTTGTACTTTGCATTGAGAGGTTGGTTCTTGTTTTGGTCTGCACGTTACAGTATGCAACAATTTGGTATCGGAGCGGACCTCTCATTTAGAGGACCCGCTCAATCAAGTAGCCAGCTTGCTGATCTAGTGATCACTCATTAGTAACGCAAGTAGGACTTAGTCTGATTATGTTTTTCACGCAACAACTATCTGAAATTTCTAATATTCGCATTTCGTTTTTTTCTGAAAATTTCTGATATTAGTAGTTCATTTTTACGTAACAAATATCTGAAAATTTCTGATAAATCGCATTTCGTTTTGTCTGAAAATTCCC